TTTCTTTCTTACAACGTCAATAATTCTACCCTTTTCATAGATTTTAAGAATAAATTCAAATGATTAGAAAAGGTACCTTTTTATTCAATAAAATGGTAGGAACTTTAGTGTTTTATCTATTTACTGGATGTGATGAAATTTCCCACCTTTTTTCAAGTTTCACCCTTTAAAGGAAAATCGAAAAGCAGATAAAAAGGTACCTTTTTACGGTTTTGCGAGTTGAAAAACGCAAGTACTAAAAGGTACCTTTTTCTAACGCACCGGTCACTAACTACATAATGATTATTGATTCCGAATAATTGAAAACACAATGCCAAATGACGCTATCACATGTTTATTTCTAACCAATATTACTATTGGCTATGTTTCATGTCAATTCCAAATCATGATTTCCCCCCTGAAAAGTCACGTGACTACTGTAAATTATGTGATAAATTAACTGTATTCAAACTTAATAACACTGTAATAAGGCCGTACGTTTGGTGTTAGACAGGAAACTACGAGTATAAGATGAAATTAAACATGGAGTTTTAGAAGCCAACCTTGAAACAATTAAGATATATCGTATGCAAACTACTCATACCAACGAATAAGCTAATCCTATGAGCAATCCTTTCCAGAGGTCACTAGAGGGTTTTCAGCAAGAAGCATAGGTGTACTTATGAAATCGAAGGGAAAATAAACGTGATGGCGTCATTTGGCATTGCTCTTTCAATTAGAATCAATTAATAATACTGCAGTGACTAGTTTTGATGAAAAAAGGTACCTTTCGGTACTTGCGTTTTTCAGCTCGCAAAACGGCAAAAAAGGTAACTTTTTATCTGCTTTTCGATTTTCCTTTAAAGGGTGAAATTTTAAAAAAGGTGGGAAATTTCATCACATAAGATAAAACACTAAATTTTCTACCGTTTTAACAACTAAAAAGGTACCCTTACTAATCATTTGAATATCATCTTAAAATCTATGAAAAGGGTAGGATTATTAACGTCGTAAGAAAGAAAATAAATTGTAAAAGCTGAATTTATTGTGATTTTTAGATTCTAAATTCAGGATTTAACGAGAAAGTAGAATTGCCACAATCTATCACTGATTCCTAAGTAAGGCCTAGGGCAAATGTCGAACTTTCCATGCACCGAACTCATTAAAAACAATGGATATCATGTGATAATGAGGCGGCATTCTTTGATGTAATTAAGTTCGGTGCATGGAAAGTTCAACGTTCATCGGATTGATTGATTTTCCTTTTATCGAATTACTGAGTACAGACATAGAAAATAACCAATAAAAACAAAACAATATCATCCACATATAGCCAAGCTAATGAGCTGGTATTTGGACAAAATTCTGGACAACAATGTGTTGCAATGAGTTTGTGCTCTTTGATTTTCAATAGCAAACAAGAAAAAAATTTTGCCAATGACGTTATGTTAATTATGGATATTGGAAATCAAAAAACCCCTTCTTCATGCAGTTCATGCATGCAATACAAACACATTACCTACTCTCACTAGTATATGGTAATATATTAGTTCGAATGCTGTCTAATAACACAGAATCCTTCATTACATTCTAGAACACAAAAATAGACACAAGTAGATTTTTTTATAACCGGCAAGACGAAATGCAAGTCCAGCATAAATGTATCAGGCAATGACAGCTTCACAAAGAAAACTGCAGACTTATCACATCGAAAGCCCTCGCCACGCATCGCCATGCGTCAAGTATTTGATGTATTATGTTTGCCTTTGTTTTATGCTTTCGTTTATGAAAATCAAAAAAATCAATTATCCCTAAAACATTACATTTTTAAGGCAAGCAAAAATATTGTTTTCAAAATGTTGGAAATTGTCTATTGTTTAAGGCTGTGGAAAATCTTTTTGATACATGAAGTATTTACTTTGATAATGATAATAATAGTGCATTTATATACCGCATTTCCAAATGAATGCTCTATTCGCTATAACATAGCAATAATAATCACAAAATAACTAAAGATAGCTAAAAATCAAAATAGTTTTTAAACAGATGAGTTTTAAGCTGCGACTTAAATTCAAGGACAGTTTGACAGGATCTTAAAGATAGAGGTAGAGAGTTCCAGAGTTCAGGTGCTGCAAAAGAGAAGGTTTTCAGATTGTAAATTGGTATTTTTAAGAGAAGAGAGTTTGAAGAACGGAGAAGTCTTGAAGGTTTGTAGGAAGTAATCATACTCTTTATTCAGTTTGGAGACTGATTGTGAAGAGCTTTAAAAGTGAGTAATAGGATCTTGTATTATATACGTTCTGTGATACAGGTAGCCAGTGAAGATTTTTCTAAATTGGAGTGATATGGTCGGGTTTTCAGGAGAGAGTTAGCATTTGAGCAGCAGCATTCTAAATAGTTTGGACCTTGTCAATAGAATATTTAGGAAGACCAAACAAAAGAGAGTTACAATTGTCAATTTTCGATGCTACGAAAGCATGAATCAGTTACTCAGTGGTAGTGCAGAGAAAGAAATCTTCGTATATATTCTGCAAATATTCTTGAGAAATATTCTTGGGTAGAAAGCAGACTTTTGATAGTTGTTTAATTTGAGGAGCCATGGAAAGAGTTGCATGCGAGTCAAACATTACAACAATGTTTCTTGTAAGGGGAGACGGAGAGATAACATCAGAACCAAATTGGATTGGAGGAAAAGGTATTTGATTGTTGAATTTCGAAAAGAAACTTCGGAACCAAGGTTTTTTTAAAGTCCTTTTAGACGACTCTGCAGAGAGCCCGAAAACCTAAGTCGTCGCCGTTCGACCTAATTTTGTTTGCACCAAGACAGTTTTTTACGTGAATAACTTGATAAACATTA